CCCTACAATATTACAAACTCATTTCACTGCTGTGGTACAAAATTCCACTAAATACAGAATCTGTATTTTAACAAATTCAAACAACATATTAAGTCAATTCTGAGGGGCTTAATATTGTTAGAAACGAGAACTACACTATTTTTTTGAAGGGTCAGAAATGCACCACAATGGTGAAAAGCACACTTGAGAATATACTGGCTTTATCTGCTTTTCTTATCAGTCTTTTCTTCTGAGACAAAACCTGACCCACCTCATAGAAGCAGCATTGACAAGAATGTAACAAGAACACTTTCTACTTCACGAAAAGACAAAGGAATTTGGCACTAACTGTGTATGCACGCACTATTCCCATACGGTGTCCTTTTATGTACAAATTTTCTTTGTTCTTTATATCATATATGTAAATAGTATTTATGTGCTCTTTCAGGAATCAAATGGTTAAAAAAAATCCCGATTTAATAAGAGGAAAAGTGAAAGGAAAGAAGTGGGGGGGGGAGCTGACTCTTACTAATTATTTTGATTAGTAAATGACATATCTTTATGCTTCGCTGGGTTTTTTTTGGGGGGGGAGGGCGGTTTGTAGTTTTGCAAACTGCCTTCCAATGATCAAATCACAGCATCATATGGTAACTGTTCAACAGCATACAGACATAGCGGTAGATAAACTTTTTACCAAATTACTACTTGTCATAGCACTTCTGAACCACGTACCAAAGATATGCAAAAAGCCAGCTTAAATTCTGGTCCTTTTACAGTGCTATTCTGCTCAGCCATATGCCCAACCTCAAACCCTACGGTAAGCAGTTCAGTAACTAACTAAATATGGTCACAGAGAATCCAAATGCGAGACACAGGTCTAAACATCGGTGGGTAGAACTGGCCAAACCAGTGCACTGCATTTGGAGACCTGGCACAAAAGAAAAATTTTGGTAACTCCGCCGTCTACGTACAGTTTTGCCTGCAAAATACAAACGGCAGTTCTGCTGCACCAGCGGCCTACCCAGGAAACAGTAAGTTTGAGTCGCTAACTAAGCATACCATCACACCGCCAAACAGGAATGTGGCCCTCTAGGGCGGCATCAACACTGCAGCTAGAGACCCGAAGGAAAGGAAGATCTTTCCTTGCAGGGTGTTTTCAGCCTCGTCAGACTCGCAACAGCCCCCGCCGCTGCAAGGCCGGCGCTGCGACACCTCCTCCAAGCCTCCCGGGGGAGGGCGGTGAGCAGCCCCACGTCTCGCGTTCTCCCACTGAGAAGCAGTGGGGTGGCGCTGGGCGGGGTAGCGGGGTGGGGGTGGGGGGTAGGAGGCGAGCACGAAGGAGGCCTGGCAGTGCCCGCCCAGCCCTACGCAGCCTCCGCGGG